TGCCGCACCTGAAAGGTCACAACGATTAACTACCAAGAACGTAAAACTCCTGTTTCTTCTTCCTTAATAACTGAGCTTGAGCGCCATTAGGATCTACAGTGAACCCTATTGACGTCTCTGTAGCGCTTTGATAATAGCATAACAGATCATAAGGGATTAAAACCACGTGTGTTGTCACCTCTTGAAACTAAATCACATTACCACTTTGGGATGTCACCAGCTAAAACTGGTCACACAGTATAGCTGGTTGGACTGTCGCCGAAATATCTTTTCACTTCGTGTGCATCAACCTTGGAACGCCATCCCCACTTACGTGGTTTCGTTCCCCACACTTACATTATTCAAAAATGTCTCTGTGAAACACGAAAATAGTTACGTTGCGCTATATAGTCTTTTATTAACGGGCTTCATAGTAACAGCACCGATCATTATGCTTGGTAACACTTCTTGCGCCTCGTTATGTAAACGCTGCTACTGTAGTAAATTGTTAGGATGTATACATCGCCATTTACGTATCACATCGACCCAAGGGATCGGCACATGTGTGAACGTTTTCATCCCTACTTTACAGTTATCTTCTAGATCGTCAACTGTAACTACTCCCTATACTGTGTTGTACGCTTACCCAAAGTTCTCATTTCCAACACTCATTACGCAGCAGTGCATCTAAATAGGCGAAAGCTTGAACTTGACAAATCACATACAGTTCTTTCATTTATTTCACCCGAGTCATTCTACGTTACTTGTCATGCACCTGCTTTTCTAGTCGTACATAAGCAGTGTTCGTTATAAACACATTTTTGCGTATTTATAGGCTTAATCCATACCAATTCGCAAAATCAACTTGTATACCAATCCTCACCGATGTCAGCAAACCGATTCTTAGCGCATAATACACATACATACCAAGGTTCTCGACCACATGTTATTCAGTACTTTTTTGGCTTGACCATAGGTTTGTAACTAAGTGATTCAAGCGGCTGCGAAGATATCTGTTTTACTCATTTTTATTGAGAATCTACAAAAGTGCTTGTGGTAGCAGTACACTAATAAGAGTTGTACTGAGTGAAGTTGGCCGTACCTGTCAAGGCAAAACCATATATCGAAAATCCATTTATTTAATCCCGTCTGCTAAATACACGTGCAATGACGACGTCACCTTGAGTGGTGACGAAACGTTTGCAGTCAACATGTTGAGCTCAGCCAACACTCAGACCACCAATTACTCCTGTTGTGTCAAGTGCCACGGACGTAAGACTAAACAACAGTCAATACAGACGGCTAAACACTGCCCCGGGGTTATCGCAGGGTCCGAAGCATTAGCGGTTCTTTATTGGAACATCTGATCCTTAGCATACTCTAAATGATAAAACAGAAAATACTCTCTATGTCATCTGTTCCATACCGAAAGAATAGCCACGAACGTTTGGAAAGGTTACCTGAAAACATCCATTAAGATCGCGATAAGGCCAACTTAACCAGAACCATGCAGCTGGTGCTTGCGTATTTCCTCAACTTGCCATGATTCTAACAACGCTATTTTCATATCGAACACAGTTGTCAACCGAGTGTAATTTTCCCCATTTCAGTGGACCCGGGTGTGCTTCTTGCCTAGAAATGTAAGCCTAAACGTAAAGCTTGCCGCATTAGTTTAGCATCAAGCGAATTTGCCACGCCTGTCCAAACCATCTCAGCTCTTTTTAGTCTTGGCTAAACTAGCTTACTGCTACGACAACTAGTCTTGCAATTTTGATTGCCTGGTGGGAATTGGAAAAGCGATATCTTCGTCACTCTGTGGCCTTAATTTTCTATAGATATAATGTGCACATTAAAGAATTAGCTATGAAGTCAATAGTTGATTTTGTCCATGATCCCAATGTATTAAACTGCTCCATCTTCTAGTAACCACACGTAATAAACCTTATTGCTCAACTGCACTTAAACTTTCTGAAGTTGGATAGTCAGTTCGCAAAGGGAATTACCTTGATCCCGAAGAATATTTAAAAGGAATAAGATGTCTATGGTTGCATTTATGAGCGGGAATATGTCGCAGTATTCAGCCCACTACTTTGGACCTGAGGCCACGGTTACCAAGCTTAGTATGATAGCGTCTGGTTTCATCAACCAAACAAATGGCCGATTCTATACAGAAACCTCGATAATTTCTCATTCGGCTACTACCTCGAGGTCAAGTAGGTGGCTTAACTCCTTCGCTAGCAATGTTCTCGCCTACTCTTTTCTTGAAGACGAAGGGATGTGACTTTAATCCCGATACAACAAATGCCGTAAAATCCCCCACTCATGAATCTTAAGAAACTTACTTCCGACTACGCGCGTGAATCGCTAAGTGACTTTAGGCAAGTTATCCATAGTGCAATCAAATTAAGTTGTATAGCTTTCAAATTCCGCTGTTATTCAAGAATGTTGGTACGTCCATGCTTCGGTTGTGGCAACCTACGTGCACCCTTGTTCTGCTGCCACATTGGCCAGGCGCCGTCAGCTAATAATATGTCGCGTGTGAGCATAGAGCAAAACGTAGGCACATAGCGTCGGCCGAACGTCCTCGCGAGCTACTTGTCACTTGGGCGAGATCGGCTTCCATGATAGGAGTGATATTCTTAATGCCCTAGGTCACCGACTGCGAGACATGGTGGGGTTGGAGCAATGTAAGGCACGGAGTTGCAGTATACCACATCTTCATTCTCTTAACAGAGCTAGTTGCCGGAAAGGGCCACTGTTTGTGCGCATTCAATCTCGACCGGTAGTCAGTGGACCTGTGCTAAAGTTACCAAGCCTTTGTCCGTGCAAACAACTGACGGACGCATTGCATGCACTGGCACGACAGGAAAGAATAACATGTGTGTACAATCCACAGAGTAGGCATAATCTAAGGGCTTATCGCTTATTCTAAAGCCTGAAGCGGAGACGGAATAGTTGAGCTTATAAGTGCACTGATGGTTAGTAAGTTGACCCTCGTATTAAGAGGCAACCGTGCTCTAACGAGGGTAGCACAAGTGGCCCTAAACCGCCCGAAAGTTACTCGGCTTCCATACTGGCTATTTACATTAGTATAAAAATACTCCGGTGGTACCAGAATTAGTTTGAGACTAACACTATGCTACCCTTATTTTTCATCCGTTTATCCACAAGAAATCGGGAATATTTGTGCCTCATTATGTCGTATGACACTTGGCTTTAAAGGTATTTTGGACGCAGTGTTCAAAAAAGAGTAGTGGAAGAACAAGACCAAACTAAACTACATAAAGGAAATCCCAGTCTATGAGGTAGGAATATTACGCCTGACCTTCAGTAAAGCAAGATCCAGCTTTTAGTCGCACAGTTCGAGGTAGAAGAAGTGCTTCTAATTTATACAACCGTTACGGAGACCGAACGTCTCCATGAGATCGCAAGCTGGAACCACTTAAATCACCGAGACTCGCACTCAGGTCAGTGCACAGCTTCGATTAACATCCACACTCATGGGACATTCACTTTTTCCGATGATCCGTTACACTCATTAGACATTCATTTTTACGGCCACCTTTTGTACTTAAACACATGCTTTGTACTTACAAACCTCCTTTTTCCGGCCAACCTACTGCAATTACCAACATGTACTTGCCGACATGTTCCGTCGGCAGATTCACACAGGGCTGGTGCACTTGCTTATGTCTTGCTTCCATGGTTAGTCTACCCAAACCATTCTACTTGCACAAGCACATATTTCATCAGTCGGGGTAAAATACCTGTCGCGAAGGGCTTGTCATTTGTCTGTATTTCTCTCGAAGTAGAGTAGTCGCGTGTGATGATTTTGTTCGAGCTAGGAACACGTTCAACTTGCGCGCAGAAACAGTGTTGCGCCTAAGTCCCTCGGGTAGTACGAATCCCAATTCTGTCGGCTACTTTTTCGTGTGGGGATGCAATTCTTCATCATCTTAGTTTGTCTGTTTAGGAGAGTCGATACCAGTCGGTTATAACACGTGGCTTAACCAAGAGGCTCGCGGTGCGCCCGACGATCGGTAATTGTAACAAAGGAGCCGACGAACGACAACACAACCTGCGCAACAGAAGCTAGAAGGCTAATGGAAATTCGAAGAAGTGTGCCTCGGTTTTTGACAACTAAAGCGAACTGTGCAATAAGTAATAAAAAGAAGAACAGCAAGGTGCAGCCAAAAGACAGCATTACACAAATGCTATAAATCGACCCTTGCTTGAAAAGAGCTGACTGTACTCAGGTACCGATGTGGAAGAGTGGGAGCCAAGCTGAAGTTCACTTTGATTCCTTCACCTTACATTTAACGCTGCCGGAAAACGAGTTCCTCTTACTTACTCTTTGTGTCAGGAAGAAAAGAGATTTGCAAGGCTGGAGGCAAGACTGTACCTGGCACAGACTAGTTCAGCCGAAAGGCTTACCTCGTTGTTAGTCCTTCCAACTTTTGTAAACACTAATGTTTTCTACCCATCTGCTTGTAATATTCTATTTCATTATTTATCTTTGTTCAAGAAGTGTGTTCTTACAATGGAAGGTTTACGCTTTGTGAAAGTGCAAGACACCTTCTTGACCGAACTCGGAAGCCCTGCATCGCTAATTTTCGGTTCCTATATGGTGCATGTAGTGATGTCATTATCAACCTTTCGATATGATATCGAATACTTTAATTAAGATGCGACGGTACGGACTGGACGGTCTAGCATCCAGATGAGAGGTTTAAATGTGGAGTGTACGTTAGACCACATAAACAACCAGCAAAAGCATTTACATCCCACTGATACCTGAGGTTGACGCTATCTGATTTGGTCTCAGAGTGAAGGAGCAGCAACCGCAGACAGCAACGCAAGAATGTGCAGTAAACAAACTATGGAAGTCACATCATTATTGTGAAAAATTACTACTCACTTCTATGGCAACTGGTTTTAATTGACACATAGCTGACCTAAAATGACTGCTGTCATGAGGTTTGAAACATAACCCCAATAATCTTTCTTGAATTTTATTTCAGTCAATGGAGGAGGAAAAAGTAAAGTTTGATTCCGCTGATACGGATCAGAACGGAAGCCTGAATGTGACGGAGTATGCCGCTTTTGAACATCCGCATAACTATCGCCATATGTCTCCGTATGAGATTATACACACACTTAGGGACTTCGACAAGAACGGCGATGGCTTAATTAGTCAGGAGGAATATTTGGCAGATGGTAAGTGGAAGTTTTTTCAGAATAGTTAAAATGCCGCTGGTTTTGATGACAGTGCCGCACGAAGACATGCAGTGTCACATTTAAAGGGCCGATAACAAAAACGTTTCGAAACTTTGTCAACTGGTTTGGTAACGTAGTTGAGCTATGAACGAAGCAGTGATGTATATTGCATCCAGTTGAAGCGACGGTTGCGTGAAGGCGTGGCGACACGCAATCGCAATGAAGACGTAATTTACTATGAATTTGAACTCGATCATTTTGGTAGCTGAGAGAGTGTATGACACAGATATGTCAGCTGCTCGGTATAATTCATTATACGACCAGTCTTTTACTTGGGTACCCTCGGTCGGGAGAGACAGCGGAATGATACCACTAATCCACAACGCATACATTGCAGCGGGACGTTTATGCTACAACACCATGTAACTATGAATAGCCCTAGCCAAAACGGATATTGACTCATTGTCCAGAATTTCCCATTTGTACGTGACCATTGTAAACTGGTGAGAAGACTGTTAAAGAGCGCAGTATGTTGCCAGCGGGCGAGATAGGTTTAGCTAAAACAGGGATATACTTTTGATCAAAAGTAGGTGTGCCACACCGTCTAATGGATGACCTGCTTAGGAGCTGCATGGTAGCACATGCGATGGTGTGAATATTTGCCAAGTTCCATATTTGTTTTAGGGAAAAACCAATTTTTTTCCTATTCGTACTGCTTTTCGTATAATCATGCTTTCACCGTTCAAATATAATCTAAATTGTTTAAAACCATTTTCTGGAGTGTTAAAGTTCAGGTCATAAAACACAGTGAGCTACTTGCCAGGTACCATTGATTTTTGGAAGGAACCAACATGGGACCTGCAATGCTAGGTTAGTGGTTTTTCTTGTGGCTGAGCTTATCTGGATGATGGCGTAATCAATTTGGATCACGTAGTATTTGATGCACCAGCACAGAATCTCTAAACATCGTAGTCCTGTATAACGGGTACTACATGCACTATCAGAAGCTACTGGTGTAGCGAGACCGCGGTTTACTAGGAGTGAACTAGTTACAACTTAACAAGTCCTGTAGGATGGTCAAGGTGAATGGTACAAAATATGAAAAAGATGCTAGCAAAAGTAAGTTTATACCGGTGGACTTATTAAGTTACACCTAGTACAACTGTGCATTCAATGCAAAACATGAGGAATGACTTCATATGTTACGTTTGTACGAGGGTAGCGCAATACGTTTCGGGATGCAAAAATGTTTTATTATTTACAACCAAATAATTGTTATACAATCCCATGCGCTCAACCCATTTGGAGAAGCAGCTAGACCATACCTAAGCGGGTAACCCTTCAAACAGCACAATAAATGCCTCCACCGCAGCTTCTGGAGACTCATATCGGATTCCACGCATCAATGCGCTTGACATTTGGGAACACAAAGTGTCACGCGGAGCCAGGTCTAGATTTTAGCGTGGGTGACCAACCCGCTGGATGTGTTAACTAGCCAGAAAATTTACGGTGACATGGGACCTGTGTGCAGGGGCCTTATCATGGTGTAGCAAGGTTCCTGTTTCTCGGGTTCTTTTACGGCACCTGGATACCACTTCCAGCATTTGCGACAGACTATCGGTGGCATATCAGTCTCCGGTGACTGCGTTGACGTACTAGCGGTACAGTAGCTACATGACCGGTCTTGGCTATGAACGAAGCCACCATCTTCTTGGCCAATCTGTGCTCACGCCAGAATTTCTGAGGTGGAGCCCCACCAATGGCCAATTGGTGGTGGTGGTGGTCAAATGAGTCGATTGGTGCTTTGTCTCTGGGTCGAAACTGTACACGCAGGTCCCGTCACCACTGAAGATCTCCCAAATAGCAATGGAACGTGTACCACCAAACCTGGCAAGCATGATGGGGCATCAGTCCACCAGAGCTACTTTCTGGTCTTCACTCAGTTGATGGGGTACCAGCGTGCATAAGGCTTTTCTGAGGCTGGGGTTTTCATGTAGAATGGCGCGGACTAATCCCAATAAGATCCTTGATGGCTTTCCCCAGCTGTACCACAGCCACCCGCGCGTCCTCCTCCAGCAACGCTTGCACGGAGGCACTATGGTCCGCGGTGGTATACCCACAGCTCGACAACATTGTGCTTCATCCACGTGCCGCCTGCCACGCTTGAATTCCGCAAAGCGCTCAAACGCACTGGTTCTTTAAGGCGCATTATCACCAAACGGAGTATACAGTCGCTCAACTCTCTGGTGTGGCTTTAAATCACATTTGTTGTCATGGAAAATAATCGCTGTGTAGTTGCCTCGACTGCGTTTCATAGTTACAGTAAGACTATTGCGACCTTTATGACTTGTGAGCTGTGCTGGGCTGCTGAAGCCACTGAACAATGTTCCGAATTATTTGCCAGGTCATTTACAGCTACAGTCCAACCTGCTATGGCGACCACCTGTCTATGTCGACCAGCCAAACTCATCCCCAACTTTTTCTCTTGCGCTTGGAATCGTTTTTGTGGTGTAACTGTTTTAATCTCTTTTTTGTATTGCGGCACCTTGGCTGAGGTGCATTTCTCATCATCACCTAACATCTATTTAGGATGATGATGAACGTTCATATGAATGAATCTGTCTATGACGATCACCTGTCTAAGGCGACCACATTTTGTCGGTCCCTTGCGTGGTCGCCTTAGGAAGTTCGACTGCAATATGTATACTGCGTAACCGGAAACTAATTGCTCAGTCATCTTATAAGCCGCAGCACCTCCAGGTGAACACACGTGAAAGGTGACAAAAGTGGAACATTTTCTGATGGCTAATCGTCAGCGAAATCTCCAGCGGACACGTGTATTTTGTGATGGGCCATGCGTCACATAAAATTTGAACTCTACCAACGTTAAAGCACACATGACACATTCGGAAATGCATCCCAGGCTTGGTGTACATGCACGGGAAAGAACTTCTAGCCCATTCTAAACGGCTGTACCTCTCTGCCAGCTTGAGATGACAGCATCTCAGATAGCTGTTGTGGCTGAGCTCCAGAAGATGGTGTCAAGCTTGGTTGGGTTCGCTCCAAATCGGATAATTCTTAAGGTCCCGTGCAATCAGCGAACAGAGTCTTTGTTCATAGTGCCAATAGTGCAAGCTCTTGACATTCTTGGTTACCCGACGTTGTAACTCTAAAGCTGCCGGACCAGTATTACGTATTGCACGTTTGGAGGCATATATGCGCCAAGAAGCTGTTAAAATAGCTAAGGGTCGAAACGCCTGAATGCACGCCACAGCATGCTCACAATTTAAACGCTCCTTTTAGATGCTTAAGAACATACACCGTAAAGCTAAGACGGTTGTGAAGCAAAACTTCAGCCACTTTCTCTGTGAAACATATGAAGTTCCTGCATGCACAGTTTATAGAAGTACGCCAGCTGGGGCGGTTAGTGCAGTATTCAGCAGTATCATGCATTAAACTGAAGTAGATTCTGGATTGACCACATTTAATCTTTATGCAAATCGGTATGCAATGGTGCGAGATAATCTGGTGAATCGGCACTCTCTATACTTTGTTGTCTTCTCCACAAAGTTGTCCGTTCGAGCATACAAGGCTCGTTTTACCGTTGATATACATCAAGATCAACTGTGGCTGCAGTATCGATCCTTGTGGTACTCCGCATTTGACTTCGATGGGTTTAACAAGGATCTATGTACTCGCCGATGAAGGAGAAATCTTGTACATTAGAAAAAATTGCCAATGCTAAAACTGTAGTTTGAAAATCAGGATATGATGGCCTCACAAACCGGATGCCTTTACAAATTGTATAGTAGCTAAGTTTTCTCCTGCACCAGTGTTTAGGGCCTCGATCCATTTGGTTGGCACTAGTATTAGATTGGTGCTGCAGGATCGATGTTGTCGGAAGTCGTGCTGCTTCTCCATAAGGTAGAAAAATTCTTCCAATTGGGCCGTTAGCACATCGGCGACAGTCGCTGTTGTGACCTTTGAAAACATCATTTCAAAAAACAGTAGTGTATTACGAGTAAAAGCATCGACTGTTTGATAAGTCCCGCAAGATAACGAGAATGATAACCACAAATTGAAAAAGAAAACAGCGATAAAATGAAAAGTGTTTCAGCGGACTCGTCCTTGTTTTCACACGGTGGCATGCGTATAAGATCATACCTCGATGCTGTAGTTTAATGCTGATTGGGCAACTTTTGTCACGCTATATCGTCTGTTGACATACACAGGTGATATCCAGTAATATTGTTGGGTTAGGGCAACAGCAATGCATCTATTAAACACATATACAGTGACGGCGGAAAAATCATAATCTGAAAGGGAGTTGCATGGCTGACACATAAGTGGAGTAAAAGTTGCCTCGCCATTCTGGCTGACTGTGTTGCGCGGTCAACTTGAGCTGGTGGTCCCTCAGATTCGAGTTGTTTGTTAGTTGCAGTAGGTGCCGGCCGACGTGGCTGCGATGCCTCAGAAGCTGGTAGATCATTATTATATCTCCACACAGGCGTCGGTTCTGACCGCTGCACATAATTAGGGTCCTCATTCAAAGTTGATATGGAAGCTGGAACATCCATTTGATGCGCATAGTGGCTGTTCGCTGTGGGGTTTCAAGTGTTACGAGATCTTTCTTGTTACAAGGCTGCCAAGACTGGATGGTATACTTCACATGGAGCCGCACGTTGTTATGCTGCGGAATGTGTTCAGGCGATTTGAGCTATCTGTCTATCCGCAGCTACTTAACACTGTGTAGCTGCAGATAGACAGATAGCTCAAGTCGCCTGAATACATTTCGCAGCATATCAACGTGTTGGTTCCTAGTCTTTGACGCTTTATCAGAGTGTTCTGAGTGGCTCATATCAGCCTGGAGTAACACCACAGGTTTGCACTGCCGGATAACTATCTGAACTTCGTGGTCTCCAAGCATGAATATGATATTCAACTGGTGACAAATGTAGACAACCTTTATTTGAAGGAATTAAACTAGAGCAGATTGTGCA